TACATATTTTATCAAAATAAGATTAGATTTCATTATGCAAGGCATTTCTCAAAAGAGTCGTACCATTTGCAACTATAAATCCTCCAGCAACAAGGTCGTTTGCGTTCATGTTTCCTAGGAGTGTATTAAACTTGAAAACAAGACCAACAAAACTCAAAATTGTGCCACTTTACTGCTTACCTGCAACCAGATCACCCTTGTTTACAGATCTGAAATCATGAAGATTATCCACAGCAGCACCAGGAGGAGTGGTCACCTTATAAACTGCCAAGTTGCCATCCACCACCTTGAGACAGTAACGAACTTCAGTGCCTGAACCACCAATCCAAACAGAGTCAAAGATCCGATGTCCCAGGTAGTCTTCCGATGAGGGTGTGACCTGGATTCCATGTTGATTAATGGGGATTGGACCATTCACTCTAGCGTTTGGAGTTATCTGGACACCAGCAGAATACATTCTAGAGCTTGTTATGGCCATGATCTGAGTCAGAGCCAATCGCTTGTGGAATTCTGCCCAGGATACCGCCATTCTGTCTATTATGTGGAGAATGTTCAAAGTGTGAGTAGAGCATGTCGTTCGTCAAATGGAATCAGTTCACTTACAGATACAGAAACAAAACGCCGCCAGTGAAACGAATTGAGGCATCATCTTCAGTACGTCTCCAATCTTCAGATGTACCTTATCAGACCAAAAAGCATTTTAGAATCCTAACCAACAACTTAACGTCCAAGCTACCACCTCACCTCCAAGTTCATCAGCTCCTGGAGCCATTTCATGAGCCAAACAAAAGCAACAGGACCATTAGGAAGCTGAGTTGATATCAGATAGATGGTTGATGATCCAATCAAGCCCCAATATACAGAGTCAGCCAAATATGTCAATGTCGACTTGAATGTTCTTTGAATGTCGTTCACAATGGGCCTCAATTGGGCTTCAATCAACTGCTGCAAGCTGGCATCCAACTGAGCAATCGCAACGTTGAGTCGGTTGCCAAGCTGATTTACTGCTGCAAGATTCCCAGCTTCATAACCCCGAATCAAGTCTGCAGCTACACGTCCGGCGGTTCTGTCTAGTCGATCAATGCCGTTGAGGAAACCTGCTGTTACGATGTCGGCAGCCTTGGTCGTATGGACCCCGAGTTGAAGATGAGCTTGAGCAATCTCGTGTGCGGCATCTATGTGTGCTTCGGCCACGATTTTAGCAGCAGTTGTACCAGCATTTCGTAGTCCATTCTCTAGCGTTGTCGCTGCGTTCTGGCCTGCTTTTGCTAGTCTATAATCAAGGGAAAAGGTTTTAAAGACGCCTCACACAGTTGCAGAAATAACTTTGGGACATACATAGCACTGCTACCAAGTCCAAACAGTCCACTCAGAACTCCACTCACTAGTAGGATTTCAGCCATATATCTGCTCCTAGTTAAAATATAGCAAGTTGAATCGTTTAAGCAAGCGACGGTTGAGTTATGTGCTTTGGTACGAAGGCGTAGAACGGCGAAGTGAATCAAAGCAGTCGAACATTAGCGTCCGAAAGTCAACCTGAACGGGTTAAAGTGAGTGTAAAGACCTCATATTAGTAGTAGGACGTCATCCTGGAGTCATCGCTCCAGCTTCGTCTTATGTTTCTCAGTAGATCGGGACAGTTTGTTACATATATTTGTAAGAAACGGTATACATTTTGGCTAAAAGCACCATGGGTTTTGGCCAGGAAATACAGCATTACGTATTAAGACACATCACTTTGTCGTACTGTAAGTCAAACCACTGCAATGTAAATTACATCTTGTGGTCTGTACAAAACATTTGAGTGACAGAATATGCTTCTTTAGAAATTTTTTACAATGGTTTTAGAGGCCTCTTGCGACTACACTTATTAGCTGCTTCTGTCTTGAGACCGTTGCTGTCTATGTCTCTCTACACTTTTCTCTCTCTGCTGATATCCACCATACTGTTGCGATTGTGGTTGATGTTGCTGCTGTTGCTGATATGGCTCATCAGTATAGTAGTTATTGTTATTGTCGTATCTCTCTGACAATGGTGGTGCTTGTGGTTGTTGCTGTGTTCGTTGAGGCTGCTGATACATCACATCCTCACCAAACATGGTATCATAGCTGACTGCCACCGATGTAGGTGAATCAGGTCGTCGATTATTCCCATATTGCTGCCCGCTATTCAACTCAGCATTCGAGTTACCCGGCCCGTCATATTCAGATACCGTCTCATTATCATATCGTCCAATTTGTAACGGGGTCGGCGTCCTGCGAGTATTGTTTATAGGCGGCGCTGCCATTACTGTGGCTACTCCTCGTCGTGCAGATCCTGTATTGCCAGACTGATTGTTGTTGTTACTACGAGACGTCTCTGGATACATGTCATAGCCGTCTCGTGGTGGGGCTGTCGGATGATCTCTTGGTGACGACGGCATGCTCATTTCTCTGATAGAAGACGGTATGTTATGTTTCATGTCTCGAGGAGACGGTGGTGCCATGCCACGATTCATGTCGCGTGGAGACGGCATGCTACTGTTTTCACCATCACGACGAGCTGGAATGTCGAGACGTAGCGGTATTGGAGGATAGTCGCTCATGATGTTACGATCGTTACGGTCTTGCCTTCGGTCCGGTATTACTGGGGGTTGATCCCATGTGTTTCGAGAGGGGTCGTACCTAAAATGTCAACATTGTCAGAATACCTTCTTTTGATTTCCTTTTTTTGCTTCACTTACTCTTGTTCATAAGACATTTTCTCATCATCATAATAAGGCACTATGGGAGCCTCGACTCTCCTCTTCTCATTCAGTGCACCAGCCCCTTGAGGCATCTGATCATCATAATACGGAACCATGGGAGCCTCGACTCTCCTATTCTCATTCTTCTCATTCAATCCAACAAGACCTTGAGGTATCTGCTGCTGTATACGTGGACGCTGTCCAACTCCATTAGGTGGCGGAGGCATCCTACCAAAGCTAGTTGGTGCAGCCATCGGGATACTGCTGCTACTGCTAGTTCCCGTGCTACTATACAATGGCAAGGTAGGGGGGTATATAGGTACTGGCTGGTACCCGTTACCGTATCGATCATATCCACCGTCCATTCTCCGCGGTAGTAGCTGAGGAGCACCGAATGGTGGTTGTGTTTGATACGGCTGAGGAGGTAATGGCATATTGGGAGGTGGGAAGGGAGGGAAGTTATATGCGTATTGTTGCTGTTTTGTCATTGGTGGATATCCTCCTCCCATAGTGTTCAAGGGGTATCCTCCACCACCTCCATGGCTCATCTTCTCACTCATCTTGTTATTATAATCAATTAAATAGGTCCTATCTTCAAAACCATACTTTCGATTCTGCTGCGAAGGTTTTACATATCCACCACCTGCGAATTCTGGGAAATCAAACATTTTCTCACTCCATCGCTGTTGCCTTGTAGAGAAGCCTGGCTCAGATTCCATTACTATAGAGTCTCGTCGTGATCCATCACTAAGCGCTGCTTCCTTTATTTTGTCGTCCTCTTCTAGACTGGTATGGTTTCTATATCGTCCGTAAAGGAAAACTCCCAAAAAGAAAAGTAGCAATAGTATTACGACGATTACTGCTGCTGCAGTCCCGACCTGCCAGATGGGATGAGTGCCAAGAGGACCTAAACTGACATCGTTGGATGACGCGACTACGCAAAAAAAAGGTCACTACTGAAAAATCACGAGTGTCTGCAACGACAAAAAACTACCTGGCGAAGGTGTCGGGGAAGGAGTTGCAGTTGAAACAATACATCCAAGCGTACTATTCGTAAACACACACACATCTGAGTTCACCATTGCTGATATCTGCGATACCGCCGGTCTCGCGTTTCCAGGAGTAACAACCGTGAAAACCACACTATAATCAATGCAACTCCACGACCCATTTCCCGTTGCATTCACATTGATATCCGTCGTCGTGTTCTTGCACCGAGCTTGTACATTTGTTGTCTCATTTCCTCGAAGCACAAGTAACGGATACGCCCAGGTGGTCGGGAATGTTATATTAAACAAGGTCTTGAGAGATCCAGTTAACGAGTATTGTGTTGGGTCTTGGGCAACAAGTTTGATCTGCCAGGCAGTCGAGTTTGTGAGGTTGGAAATCTGAGTTTCGACACAGCATTGTGCGGTTGCTAAAGGTACATTATAAAATGGTTAGCGAAGGTGTAATCTCTGTTGTTGTCTGATGTATGTGCGTGTGGGCACATACGCATTCTGACTATTTGTGGTATTTTCGAGGCAATCGCTTCGAGTAAAGCACCACCAATACCAAATCCAAGTGATGTGGACTAGTCAGCAAGCACGTATCCACAGACTTACCGTGTTGCACCTGAGCAATAAGCGCAATCAAGCTCGCAATGACCAAGACTTGCATCCCTATTATCCGAGTCATTGTCGATGAGGGAGTGGAGTTCACCAAGATGATGCGTACCGTGAAGAGCACGATCGTTTAGAGAAGATGTACCGAATGCAGTGTCTCTCTCTGGTCTCCGCCGTTGTTCCACGACTTTATTTTAAACTCAGACACAAGCGGTCGCAACTTGAATTTTCGTCCTTTCCCAGACGGCAAACATGAATCAATCCGATCTAGTAAATTATGCACATCAACATAACCCGCAAAACTGATGCACAATTGGCGTATGCACCTGTGGCTGTCCGTGTTTCTTGGAACGACGATTCAGACTGTGCAATTCTCATCAATTTATTTGAACTGCATTGCAAGCAACACTCCAATATCCAAACAGAACACAGAACACCAGCACAATAGAATTGGAAATTCACGCTCAATTTTACGATATAATATTGCTTTTCCTCTGTTTAAGTTTTCAATTTTGCTCAAACTCGTTGGAGTTGTTCACCATCACAAACAGCTGCAGTCCTTTTTGGATATGTTGTATTAGCATACAAAATCCTATGCACTATTTTTTTTGGTTGCGTGTGTGCAAACATCATTTCTAGTTTCTTTCATATAAAAATATCTTGCTTTTATATCATCCTGAAGCATCATCTGGCTTTCGACCACGTCCTCTTCCCAAGATACCACCACCGCCTCTACCGGGTGCTCCTCCTTCTGGAGTCGTACCACGTCCTCTACCAGCTCCTGTTGCTGCACGACCAAGTATGCCTCCACCAATAGGACGAGGAGGTAGGGGACTACTGCTATCTGGTGGCAAAGCAGACATGGCAGCTGCAAATAGCGGATTTACACTAGTTCCAGCGATTCGAGTTCCACTTGCTCCAGCTATTCGTGCACTTCCTCGAGATATTGATCGAGTTGCTGGTCTGGTTGCTGTTGTTGTTTGGTGTGGTTGAGGTTGTGTGGCTGTAACAGCACCAGATATGGGTACGGCAGGATTGAGGAGTTGCTGTTGTACTAATCCTACTGGCAAAGGCTTTGGTAATCTATCAATCTTCTCACCAACACGATCTACATAGGAATGAGAACGAGTCAGGGAAAAGGCTTCACACGCGACATGTCAGACTCATACCTTGCAATTGGCGAGGAGGCTCTCGTTGCACTCTCTTTCTTGACATTTCTCCTCCAGCAGCATCTACACTCAATCAAACAAAAGTCAGCGTTGAGTTCGTCACGTTTCTCTTAGACTTTTACGTCATTACCTGGTAGTGTGAGTGATTTGGCAGCTTCTTCAGCTTGAAGTGCAAGTCTGGCTTTTATACGTTCAGTCATAGCCATTCCGTCTTGACTTAGAGGTGCGCTAGGAGTTAGAGGCCTTGGCACAAACTCGGGTGCGTTTGTGTTTAACGGCTGTGACGGAGCAGGATCTGTCGTAGCAGCAACACTACCAGATAATTTGCCAAACCTAGACGAGATTTTGGGCGACTCGGTTGGAATAGACGGTGCTGGCGGCACGATAGGCGTACTACTACTACTTGTAGGTCCAGACAAGAAGCTGAAACCGGTAGTTGTCGAGCCTACTACTGGCGTGGAAGGCCGTGGAGCAACTGCAGACAAAATTGGTGTGGCTGTTGCTCGGGTTTCAACTATTGGTACACCGGGAGTTGCCATCGTGGATTCTGTGACAACCTCTTCTTCCATGGGCTTACTTTCAGCTTCCATGACTACATCTGAGGTATGGGGAGCAGTCGAAATGTCTGTGACATCGACTTGAATGTCTGTCTGACTGACAGGCACATCCACTTTAGTTTCATCTGTAGGACCTATACTCTCATCTTCAATCACAGTTGTCTCCTGTACATCGTCAACCACCACAGCGGGATCTATAAGAGGTGCGATGTGTTCCTGTTCTACCTCTATTTCCTCTTCTTCTGGAAGCAAATCCTCCATACTGTTGACTTGTTCTATAACTGGAGCTTCTGCAACGACAGCAGGAGCAGAAGTGTCTTCACCATCTTCTACTGCATCTTCCAGTTGCTCGCCTTCTTCAAAGGCCTCCTGACTAGGGTGTCTTTCTTCTTCTTGACCATCTGCAGCAGGAACGTACGGTGAATCATAAGTCTCCAAATATTCTTGACCTGCTTCAGTATTTACAGGCTGTTCTTCGTTAGTTACAGGGTGCTCCTGTGGTCTAACAAAATCCAAAGGAGTTTCAGATAATGAACGAGATGCTAAAAGAATTCACAGAACTTCTCGACTTACAAATCTTCTTCTTCATAATTGGCTTCTTCTTCTTCTTGATATGCCTCGTTCCCACCAACTTGCTCAGTAAATGCAACGTCTCCCATTTCTACATCTTGTTCATCTAAAGTGCGCGATAGAGTCAGGGGCATGCCATACAGATCAAATGATTGACGCGTTTTTGTTCTAAAAATTACCTTCATAGTCAACCTCTTGACCAACTTCAGGAGCAGCGGCATTTTCTTCAGGTTGATCTTCTTGTGGAATGATTTCAAATGACTGCTCCTCAGTCTCATATTCCTCTTCTTCTTGCCGCTGTAACTCATCCTCGTGAAGTTCTCCATCTTCATCACCTTCATTCATATTTACATCCTCATCATACTTGAGTTCACCATCTTCTGCATCAGCCATATTTACGTCTGTACCCGGCTCCTGGTATGAACCTGGAGTATCCACATTTAATTCTTCTGCACCTTCACCAGTAGCACCTGGAGTAGAAGTGGAAGGTTGTTGATCTAAAGTCACATCTTCAACTATGGGTGTTTCAGCCAGGGGTTGTGAGTCCGCTGTAGTATCTTGAAGTTCTTCTAGATACTCTTCTACAACTATAGGCTCCTCAGTCGTCGAAGAAGGTATTATCGGTGGCTCTTCCTTCACTTTTACTTCTACTGGAGCCGGCGTAGACACTCGCACAGGCGTAGCAGCATGTGGAGTAGCAGCACGTGGAGTCGCAACCTTTGGCGTGGTTGCTCGTGGTACTTCTTTAATGGGGGATACTTCACGTTGATCTACTTGAACTACAAGTTTCGATTCAACTGTATCCTCCGAGGGTCTCAAACGCTTAGCTGCAGGTTGACCAATAGAGTCATCAGCTGATGCAGTAGCTGGTGACTGAGCAGGAGTAGAATCTCGAGTGCGTTTGGCTGGCGTCTGTTGAGTCGATGGACGCACTGAAGTGGAAGTGGGAGACTTTATAGATGGAGCGGACGATACTGCTGTCGTTTGAGGAATATGAGGAATTGTTGATGGGACAACCGCTACGGGTTTCGGTGATGTAATGGTAGTCGATGAAACATGTGGTGGTGATTGATGTGACGGTTGACTAGTTTGGATTACAGGAGCTGAATTCGAGGACGCTTCCAAAGACTTCTCCAACTCTTTGATTTGACTTTCTAATCTAGAAATCATTTCCTTCTGTTGCTTGAGATCAGACTCCTTCTTCTCAGCTGTGGCTTTGAGAAGACCAAGTTTCATATCTCGACTCTGGATTTCAGTGAGATGATTACCAGCAGCTTTACGTAATTGTTCTATCTCTGCTCGGATGGCAGTCACTTCAGATTGTGACTTGTTCAACTCTGTCGTTAATCTGGCGACTTCTGCACTAGAGTCGCCTCCACCAGATTGACTGGACAGCTCAGATTGAAGTTGAGTAATACGGGTCTAAATTGAGACCTTCGTGATCAGAACTAAGTTGCATCCCACAAGAAAACAACTGCACAAACCTCAAGCTCTCCAATCTTGTTCTAGAGAATTGAAACAGAAGAAAAGTAAATAGATGGAACACAGGATTAAATAAAACTTGGGTACGCACAGCCAGTTCATTCTTCTCATCTCTCAATCTGTTACGATCTTCTTTAGCTTTGACCATCTTCGCGTTACTTGACTGTACTAAAGCCGTCTAAGTGAAGTAGTCTGTGAGCTTTCCAGTCCTAATAACTAGACAACTCAATAAAAACTACCTTCGCCTTCTCAATCTCAACAACAGCGGCCTGAGCAGTTCCCTTGTTTATTGAAAATTCGCAACATTAGTAACTAATGTCTCTCAGCAACATGCCAGAGCAGAAGTAGTTCACTTACAAGTTCAGCTCGTAAAGCAGTGATCTCAATCGCTTTCTCATCATATTGAGTTCGAACTGCAGCCAATTCAACCTCTAATGCTGCATTCTTCTCTCTGACATCCTTGATGGCTTTGATTGTTGCTCTGGCTCGTCGAATTATCTACAAAACAAAAACAATTATCAACCGAATTCAACTTAGGCGTATCCAAACTGAAAAAACTCACATCTTGCTGTCCTTCAAGCTCCTTCTTGACAGTCTCCCATTGAGTCTTGAACGAATCTCTTTCACCGACAAGACTTTCCTTTTCTGCGAGGATGGCATCGAAACGAGCTTGTTGTGGAGCCACTTCAGCATTCAATCGTTCTATCTCTAATCTGTACGATTCATTTTGATCCTTGAATTGTTGGTGTTCGACGGGATCAATACGATCATACTTTTGCATGATGGCAGTTGATCGAGCCTTCCATCGTGTATTGTCCTCCTCAAGGAGTTTAACTTGTTTCTTACGTTCTTCGACTTCGGCTTCAAGCGTAGCAACTTGTTCCCGTAATGGATGAAGTTGACCTTCCATTTGCCTTAATCGAGTTTCTAAATCCGTCGAGCGACGAGAAGCAGACTCGTATTGTTGGCGAAGAGTCGAGTTAGATTCCCGTAATATATTGAGGTTGTTGACTTGCTCCAAGAGCTCGGTATGATGGCGTTCGGTATCTAGAGCTTGACGAGATCGATGTCGCTCTTCATCAAGTAGTGTTCTAGTCTCATCAAGTGATCGTTGCAAGTGCTCCGTCTGTTGACGCAAGCGCTGCGTCTCCTGAAGTGCCAATTCGTGCTTTGACTGTAATATATCACGTTCACGACGTATAAACTTAATGACTTCTTTGAGGTTCTCCGAGTCTGTTGCTAATGATTGAGGTCCAGTAACACTAATACTATTACCGCTTCCATCACCACCTTCTTGCATTTGTATCCTAGTGGCTTCACTAGATACTTTTTCAAGCTGGGATAAAAGAATATTGTTCTGCTCTTTGAGTTCATCGTAATTCTTTTTGACTTCTGCCAATTCAGCATCAAGTCCACGACGAATTTCATCCCAAGAGGTTTGAGACGATCTCGCTGACGACTCGGAAACGTTCAAACGTTCTCGAGCATCAGTCAATTCATCCTTGACCTTAACAACTTCGTCCTTGATACGTTGAAGCTCCTGAATGGCTTTCGAATGTTCGACTATTTCCATTTCATATTTACGGCGAGCGTCGAGGACTTCGGTATTATGACGGAGCATATCTTGTCGAAGTTGTTCCTGACCACGAACAGCCTAAATGGTCAATTTCTTTAGTTAGTGACCATGCAAAACGAAGGATGGAGAAGCCACGAGAATACTCACCATAGTCTCGCTTGCAGACAAGCTCTCAATACGATCTTCCCAAGTCTTTTTATCATTCTGATACTGTATACGATCGGCATCAGCTTTCTCGAGAGTTTCAGTGACTTGATTGGCAATTCGTGACAAGTTTTCTTCCAGGTCACGTTTAGTTTCTTCCAACTGGGCGACTTTTTGTTGGAATTGCTGTATCTGAGCATCCGTATCTCGACGGTATTCATCGAAAGCGGTGCTCGTTCGGGACAAGTCTTGTTCCAGAGTATCAGCCACAGATTTGAACGTGGCGACACGTTCTTGTTCAATTCGTAAATCTTCTTTGGCAGCGTCCAGATCCGTCCTAAGAAACATGACGTCAGGAATACAAAATACTGCCGGGAGCTTTTGTTCTCTCTTTAAAAACAATACGTAACACTTACCTAGCTTGAACGAGCTGAGCCTCCACCTCTTGCAACATTTCTTGTGGACCTGGTTGCTCGTTGTTACCATTACTGCCAACACGACGTGCACCACGATTCTCGTATACAGCCAATCTTTCTTCAGATACGGCAAGACGTTGAGTCAAATCTTTGACTCTTTCAGTCAATCCTTCTTCCTTGGTTTTGCTGACTGCTAAATCTTGGTGAACCTTTTGAAGCTCAGCAGTCTATAATTCAAATGTGTGAACAGAGAAAAACACAAACTAACAAAGGTAATATAGCTTACCAATCTCTCCGCCTTGACTTGAGCATCACGAGCTTCAGACTCTCTCCGTGCTGATAAACCACGTAATTCGTCACTTAGTTCGGCTCCTTGCCTCTTCGCTGCAGTTCTAAAAACCAAAAAGTTGAGCAAACAAAACACCCTTTTACTTAAATACATGGCTTGAAACTTACAATTCTCGATCAAGACTTGCACATCTTTCCTCCAATCTTCGAGTCTGATCAGCACTACTACGTTCAAAAGCATCTTGTGCACGTTGCAAGTCCTTCAACAGCAAGTCCAATCGTTGACGTTCATTAATATGGAAGGACACTTCGTTCTTACTACGTTCTTCCACATTCTTCAACACTTCTAGTTGAGCACGTAATATAGATACATCTGACCGGTGTTTACTACTCTCGTCAAGAGCGCTACGACACTTATTATCGGTTTCCTGAATGCGTTTATCCATAGCAGCAAGCTTAGTATTTAAATCACGGTTGGTGTCAACGACGCGGCGTAGTTCGGTTTCTTTGGCATCAAGATGGTGTTGAAGGATGGAGTATCGTTGGTCCGCAAGTTCAAGTTGTGTCTTGACTCGAGTGAGCTGGACATTCAATTCACCATTCTCATGTGCGAGACGTGAAGAATCGTTCTTTAACGTTTGCGTATCTATACCGGCTTCACGTCGTAGATTATCCAGCTCTTGTTGGGCTGATTCATATAATGCCTTGTATTCGTCGCCCATACCATCACCATCAGGTGAAGTCGGTCGTGACGAGGACATTCCACCAAAGCTATTACGACCTGTACTATTACTTGTATTGACGTACTCAAGACGTCGTCGAAGACCTTCATTTTCGCGTTGTAATGAGTCACAACGGAGGGTAATCCTTCGCACTTCGTCTTTAAGAGAGGTAAAGCGAGACTCGTCCTTTGTTCGAGCATCTTCAATGCCCATACGAATCCGTTCAACTACGTTGTTTTGAAGTTGGGTAAGCTCGTCAGATAGGGAGAGGACTGATCGTTTCAATCCCTCATTCTGAGCTACTAGCTGGTCTACAGATCTAAAGACTTCGACATCAAAGTCTGCAGCGGCACCATTACCCATAGTGGACGATGATGGCGGGGCAGACAAAGTAATCTTGAACCGCGCTTCCAAGCTGGCTAGTGAACCTGCTCGTACTTCTTCGAGACCAAGAATCAAGGCAGTAATTGTCTTTTTCATATCCATGATACTACCATGCATATTGGTTTTATCTCGTTTCAGGGCAGCTACTTGTTTGACTACCGCTTGTTCTCGTTCTATAGCTTCTTCTCGTTGCTTCAACACTATTCCTAGCTCCTTGAATATTTTAGCATTCTCGGCCTTTATAGTCTCGTTTTCGTGCATGGCTTGCTGATATGCCGGGCCAATCTCGTTCTTGACTCGATCGGCAGTTGCGGCAGCATGGGTTTCAAGACCTTCTAATTTACGCTTTAGTACACGGTTTTCATCTTCAAGTGCGTGATTACGTGCATAGAGTTGAGTTATAGAGGAAGATGGAGAGCCCGACATGAATGGCGAAGATTCGTTACGAGCGCCAGGAGCGGGAGTGCTGGGTCCTGCACCACTCAATCGTGTTCGTAGCGCTTCAAGTTCATCTTCTTTGGCGTCTAATTGGGCTTGCATGGATGCTCTGTCGTTACGAGTATTCTGCTCGACCTGTTCTAACTTAACTCTCAGGTCTCTACACTCTTCTTCTCGTTCGGCAAGACCATGTGACATCTCCTTCCATTGGTCTTCTCGTTCTTTAGCAAGAGAATTAGACTGATCGACAAGTCTCTGCTGTATACGCATTTCTGTCTTAAATTGTTGCTCTTGTATTGCAAGACGGTTCGATGCCTATCACGATTTTCAGATGTTGTAAGTCCATGACAGAACAAAATCGTTGCACAAAGTGAGCAAACCTCTTGAGCCTTCTCGAGAGCTGAAGTCAACTTGGCCTCGAAGTCGTTAGCTCTCTTTGAGTGGCTCTGAGCTCGAGACTCAAAAAGATTACGCTCCTGCATAGCTGCATCCAGTTGTTGATGTAGAGACGTAATTTCCTCCATCTAAAGAGTTCAGAAAAATCGGGATTAAGCACAAAAAAGTCCAGCAGTCCGCCGTACATGCCCGATCGGTCAAGCGTACGCCCGATTATAACATCAAATTATTCTCACCTTCTCTGTTCTATACTGCTGGAACTCATTTGCTTTGCGATCCATCTCCTGATTCATCCACTCGTTATGTTTCTTGAGTTGATCGACTTCTTGCGTACGAGCATCTAGCTGATGCCGTGAATTCAGGGTTTCGGATTGTAGTTTAGCAATCTCTTCTGATTGCGTGCGATACTCGGTACGAAGTGATTCGGTTTGTTGGACTAGTGCTTCAATTTGATCTAAAAACAATGAGACAAAAAATATTACACCAAAGCATGGATACGATCACATTGACCAAGAATGGAATTTACCCTTTAGGCTCGATATCTCAACCAGCTTTCGATCAAGAAGGGTGGCCAAGTCACGCTTCTCAGAGTCTAGCTTTCCTTCTGTCGATTTTGATGATTGCACCTCGGTCTCCATAGCCTTTACACGTGCGGACAGCACCGAATTCTCCGACTGTGTCGTAGCCAAAGCGGCATCTACAATGAAAACGAGAGTATAACGTTGGTGTTGCTGAAAGGGGTCCATTTTGGGCGATCAGTTTGCAAGCATACTTTTTTGAGAGAGTTCCGACTCGCAATCATTCAATCTGGATCGAATAGTATGAATCTCATTTTGGAATGACTTGTTTCGTTGAGCCAAAGTATGAGCAGCTTGTTCTATGTAAGCGACACGACGAAAAGACCAAACATATTTAGTCACAATCATCTCTAAGCAATTACAAACATTGGCACTGCCCAAACTCACCCGAATTGGTTTCAATCAAGAGCTTTTCAGCTCTGACTTGCTCCAATTTGACTTTAAGCGACTCTATGGTGTCTCCAGCATCTTGTTTGAGGATTGCATTCAGATTCGTGATGAGAGTCGCCAATGTTGGATTTGACGCAATCCAGTCATTCCATTGAGCATCGTGAGGGAGAGAGGCCAAGTCCAGCAAGTACAAGAGACCGGAATTACTACTCATAGCTTGTCCATTCGTAGCTTGTTCATCGTCGTCGGTACCTTGGGTTGAAGCCCGTTGTTCTGCGAAGAGGTCGCCTTCCATGAATGTCTCCATCTAAGGGAAGCACTTCCTTTTATACCTATATCAATGATGCTTTCATATGCAGATTGATGCCTTCATATGATGCAAGTTGTTAAAGGGCTTCAAACTGCTACTTGTGCTTTTCGAATTTGTACAAGTATCCAGTGCGACAAAGTCAAAGTCGCACACTCTAGATATTCGTACTTACGCGAACCGGAACTCCTGATTTATTCAGGGGCCTCTAACTCCTTTCGTGACAACAAGAAAAACACCGAATTGGCAATGAGAAACGATCGTTAAATTATTCAAATACAATCGTCCTTAAAATGACTACCTAACATATATACTCTTACACTTTACTAATGGTGTCCGGGCCATCACACGTGAACAGAGTAGTAAACACTGTCCGAAACAAAGCAATGCTGCAATTTACCAAACTCCCCTTTCTCTCCAGATCACCACTACGAACCAGATTCTCATCTTCCGAATCACCTTCTTCCTCAATAACGTCAAGACACGTGTCTTGAATATACGTTGCCACGGCATGCATGTTCTTTACTATAGGCAGACATGCCTTTTCGTATCGACGTTTATGATAGTCGTGTCCAGCTGCTAATGCTGCCTTTTGAACAGCTCGTTGGACTGCTTCCGTAGCTGCTCGTGATCCATGATATTGATGTTTGAGTGGTAGTAGCGTTTCAAGGGATGCATTGAAAGACGTCAGCAATACTATGGATGGATGAGTTTCATCGCAGGCCATTGTCAAGATCTAGTTTCGCCAGTTGTGTTAGTAGAATGTTGCTCAAGCTTTCGAGGTTCCTGACTTGCCGATTCATCCCATTTGCTAAGGCTTCGAGATCGATATAGTATGTCATTGAGGTTGGCTATACACTCTCCTCTTTCAAGTCGTAGGAGGTGCAGCATTCCGCCTAATCTGGCTATCATAACCTCGTCCAATTCAGATACAGAACTTTTATCAGACTTGGTTGCCCGACTTCTAATGCTCTCTAAACTATTATGTGGTTGTTGCTCTAACTGACTTGACTGAGGCAGATGAACACGCTTAGCAGTGCGTCGATCAGCTAGCCCCCCATGACTTTCTTGTGAAGAAGTGTCTTGGCTTCTCTTCCTCTTATTATTTTGAGCTGTTGATACTGTAACGTCAGGTTGCATGTGCTCTTCTTCTGTGTCGTCTGGTTGGGAAGAGTTGACGACAGCAGATTTCGTCTTGACACGCGGGAGAGGCTGCTCTGAAGTTGCGAGCCGGTCATGAGTAGGAGACGTTGCAGGGGAAGGCATTGCTCGTTGAGAATCCTGTTGGTGTTGACTTTGCTGCCAGTCTTCACGATTTCTCAACCTCTTACAATGTTCATTTGATACTGAAGTATATAATTCTGATTCATCTCCTACTAGCATTTGCACTCCAGTCTGCGGCCAAAAAGGGGGAGAATTAGTTGGATTGTGAATTGTGCTCACTGCTTGAGGCTACTTGCAACAAGCTTTAGTTCTGGCACCCGTAATGGATTCGTCCAGTTCAGAAGACTCGCGACACGAGCATCTCGTAGATTAAAGAATCCACAATAATGACAAGTGTTGCCTGAAGTGGTTTCCTCCTCAATTTTCATAAATTGATGGCAGATCTCACAAACGCAAACGGGAACTCGACAATATAAACTAGTAGAGTAGACAGCTCTTAAGCGATCTATTAGCGATCAAAATGAACTGTTGATTTCTGCACTCACCACTCGAGTTTCATTCCGTTTTCTTGATTGAACATCGCCAATTGCGCTGGTTGTTCATCTGCGTCACAAGCACTATTTGGACACGTAAACTTGGCCAGCATGTCTGAATATAACGGAGTGCTATAAATGAACGCGATGTTAGACGTGTCTGTTTCCATCGAAATCTTCAAAGACGTCAAAGTAATTTGGTCACTTGCCTCGCGGGCCGAGGAGTATCGTTCCGTATGTATTATAGAGGCTATAGGGAGCTATAAGTAGAGTGGTATCGTATTCCCGCACGCTCCGTATGTGCTGTGTCTGGCTATTGTTGATTTTGTGAAAGTGCAAAAGATTTGAAAGCGAATGTGAAGATGCAAACCTGCAAACTGGGGTTATCAGTAGCCTAGTCGTTTTTAAATTCCTAAATTGCTTTGGAGCCAACGTATCGCGTTGACCGCCTAATCAAACGTGATCCAAAACATGACATTTGACAACAACATTTTACATCTCACAGCTCTCGCTTCGTTTCTTGGGAGTGCACCATGACTGGATCTTGGGTGCCTCGTGAAGACTATCTGCATTTGACTCCATATGGCCCAGATTTGACGTATCATTGGGGACCTCTCTCTCCAATGTGGAGACAATGGGCAAAACAGCAACCCAGTATGGATTTTCTCTAGATTCCAGGTTGATTCTTGTGTGTCAAACTGTTATCCACTCACGCTCATGTCATGTCTAGTGCTGCCGATTCTCTACCACCAAATCCCCAACGTGTTTTGGCTCTTGACATCATCATTGGCACTCGTCTACTTTATGAGAACATATAGAATCATGCCGCGTAGGCCTACATTAACACTGATGAAGGCTCCATTATTAGCCAAAGTCATGTGGCTTCACCACATAACGCACACGCTATTCTACATTATGGAACTACTTGTCACAGACATGTATAATCTGTATACCCCCATGTTCTTTCATCATATCGCAGCGTCAAGTCTCATGACGTTATGTATGATTGAACCAGCAATCCTCTGTGTCGTGTACGTAATGCCCTTCTTCATTCACGGTATATTCTGGGTTCGAGGGGCTTCTGAATTTGATCTGTTGACGGTATACAATTACTCGCTGTTGATTGCTGGTGTTTGGGGAACATATGATGCTGCGAAACTACGAGTGGTGACTCCCACCATACCAGTTATCTGTCTGGCGTTGAGCTCGGTCAATGTCTTTACATGTAGGTCAAAACTCCGATCTCGCACAAAAAAATCCCAATGCGTTTCACTCATCGCTCCACAATTTAAAACACCTAGATTGCTGGAGCTATCAAGGATATTACTGTCCACCACCTATGCTACCACTAGACCGTAAAGCGGAACTCACCATTGGCTTAATCCTGTGGTTCCTCGTGCTCGTATCAGGGTGTACATATATAGGAAGACGGCATCGTAAAAATGACGTTGATATTGACCTGGACTTTAATACTCTGCCAACAATGGGTGACATTAGAATACACCGAACCTCATCGTCGTCATCATGGAATATATTGCACTCGTTAAGGATGTGGACTACAAGGTGGAGACATGCAGTGTCATCTCCGTCACCAAAGTATTCTCGTATAAATGGACTTGAAGCCAATAATAGCAGTAATGGTGCAGGTGAAGCTGTAATTAATATGTCGACCATGTGGGAGGCTTCTCCACAGGATTTAGGTCGTAGTGGCTTCTTTATAAATACTGAACATCCACGAAAGAATGTATAGAAGTAGAAGAACAACCCATTTAAATTAACATAGAATGTGGCCTCTGTCGGTTGAAGAATTCAGATCCAGTTTGGTAGTTATGTCTGCACATTAGCGGTTTGGAATGAGCTCGGTGAAATCCGATCCGAGTTTGTACATAATGGTTGTCTATATGTGAGAGCGTTCACCCTTCTGTCCCCTTTTGTTTCGTTTCTGCAGGGGCATGGCCCATAGGAGATCTCTGCTAACTATACCGGTAACACATCGAACGAAGATATAACTCAGTTACCTCGTTAAGGGCCCCTTGAGGGGCACTGCACGGTCCCTCTATGATTCGTGCCCCTGCAAATATTTTTTTTTTGGACGCAAACCGACTTTTTGTGGTATCCTGACTAAGGGAGAGGCTCAAACAAGACCCAAAATTCAAGGATATTAATCAGATTCAACTGATGCGAACTCCTACACGCCTTGCTTCCTCAATCTGCGTGTAATCTAAAACATCAACATTTTCAGCTCGCTGAGGTTTTGACAAATCAGCAAATAACAAGGACCGAGCAATCCTAGATTCTCCAAGATTAGCACATCCAAGAGCTCGCTACGCGGTTTCAAGTATTCGATAGTAGAAGGAGATCTGCATTCGTCCTTCGTACTGACTACATGTGGACACACACAGGTACACAGTGCATCGCGAGCTTACGAGCTTAACAGACCTCAAACGATAATAATCCTGTTCCAAAGGCTTTATCAGTCCAAAATGCTTTATGAATCAAAACAAAACATGATACACATTATGCAAAAAATTAAAAGTGTGTTTTACGCAAACCACCGCCTTATACTCGACTCTTCCGCCCCAGCTTTATCACCACCACCAGTAGCACTGGTGGTGCTACCACCAAACAGATTCTTCTTATACGTATTAACCAGCTTCTCAAACTTGGCTTCATCGTCATCATCCCTCTTCTCACTCTTACTCTTCTGCTGCTTCTTTCGCGGTCTCTTGACATCATCATCGTTATCATAGGGATTTATAACTGACGGAGCACTTCTCTTTTTGGATGGCTGTGACGAGTCAACAACATGTGCTGGTGTTGAGTTGAGTGGTTTTACTGCAGGTTCGTTTGTCCTTCTCTTCTTCTTATCATGGGATGCATCATCTTGCCATTTACGTTTACCGGCTGGTGATGTTGTTGCGGCAGCAGCATTGCTCTTTGGCTGGTCGTCACGTTTAGGTTTACCCTGTTTACTGGTATTTTTGGGTTTATCGCCATCAGCGGGTGACTCATATGAATTGTTCGGTCTGTCTGCTGGTTTCTTCCACTCCCTCTTTTGTTCCTTCTTTTCATCAGTACTAGCATCACCACTACTATTGCTCTCCGGTGCTACATAATCCGGTTGCTTATCAGCCCTCCTGAGCTTCCTAGCAGCCTTCTTTTCAACAAGCGCCTTTTCACGAGATTTACGAAGTAGCTCATCTCGTCGTTTAACTACTTGAGCATTCTCAATGGAGAATTCAACAATGGGGATTTTGCTACCACGAGAAGACCCAAAAGCCTCACTATTATTATTCATCCAACGAAGTGCAGCCAATGCATCAGCATGAGTCTCAAACTCTAAAAATCCATATCCTTTAGATCGTGGTTTACCAGTCTCGACATTGACTCGATCTTTGGCGACTAGTATTTTAGCTTGTTTGATTTTTGGGTATCGGTTTACGGAAGGGATTGCTCGTTTCGGATATAATTTAGCATCTTCTTCCATTACTTCATTCTCTAGCGGCTGGCGTTTACCCTCTTCAACATCCTTCCAGAATGATTTAACGGCGTTTATACCAGCGTTCCGTAACCCAGCATCATCAATCTTGAGACCCAAGTTTCGAACCGACAATCGAGTCTTGCTCAAAAACAAGTTTGGGTTTGATGTCAATAACCTCTTTCGAGATCCATATGCCATCATACGTGTTTCAAGCTCTGGTTGACTGAGTGTTTTGGCAGCATCCGAGTTTGGGAAGATGACACCCTCTCGCATCAGATATAAATTACGTTTATCCTTTTCTATACGTATGGTTTTACGTTCGTGAGCTACTTTATCGGCTTGCCCTTTTGGTAGTGCTACAGTCACATTCATGAGACGGCCGTTTAAAACGAATTGTGAGGATGCGGATGTTAGGGATGGTTCTGGCGCTAGTACGGATGATATGGGTGCCAGTTTCTTGCCAATCTTCTTTTCACTGCTTGATTTGCTGGTAAGGGATGATGAGATGTCTGCTACAGCCGATGTTGCAGCTTTTTCGTATGCTTTTATACAAGACTGTGCGTCCTCTTGTTTATAAAAGCACACAAATCCAGTTCCTCGTGGTTGACCAGTACTTGCATCAAACGTTGTTCTTGCGTATCTTATGTTTCCATATACAGAAAATCTAGGGGGGAAAAGGTCTGAGTCCATACGAAAAAACCTCGGGCTATCAACGGCAAACCACCTACGCTTCAGTAAGGTCTTCCTCATTGGTATCAAACGACAGGTTTCGTATAAATAATGTACATCCTTGGTTGACATCTTCTTGAGGAGCTCGTCTAGGTTTCAATGGCTTTACATCCACATCTTCCCACCCATCGTCCTCATCCTTGACATCCTCATCATCACTCTCACCATTACTATTATGCTTCCGCCCATGTCCTTTGGACCCAAAATTCGTTTCCTCATCTGAATCATCAAGAGTCTGTGGCGGCATTTCCTCATCTTCATCTTCATCCTTGACTTCAACACCCGAATCATTGGCATCCAGCTCCTCTTCATCTGGCCTGTTAGCTTCCTCCAGGAACTGATCTTTCGGCAATGTGAAATCAACGGCGACTTTACGCCCCTTGATTTCAGTCCCGTTTACAGCATTGACGGCTTTTTCTGATTCTTCTATGTTCAGGTATTGGACAAATCCAAACCCTCGTAATGTTTTGCCATCCGGTTTCGTTGGTAGTGTGCATTCGGATACGATTCCGTATGGTTTGAAGGTGGTGATGAGATCGGCGATAGTGCATGTGAAGGGGAGATTTCGTATAATGACTTTGGATCGTTTGAGCTGGTATGGTGATGGTGCTGTTATGGCTGTTATCGGGATGCCCTTGAAGACGTGTTTGTCGAGGTGATCTATAGCGGTTTCAGCCTCCTCGTATGAGCTGTAGTCGACTTTGGCTATATGTGAAACGAGGAAGTTAGTTACGATGGCAAAAAAGCTCAAAGTAGAAGAAGATGATTGCAAAGTAGCTACGTATGCTCTTACCCATACGAAGTTCATTGAATTCACTCAGGAATGGATATGTAATGTTGCGAATGGTTCCGAACTTGCGAGCCTTGACTCGAACATCTTTTAGCGTTATGGCTTCTGATAGTCCACCGATGATTACACTTCTAGGCTGATTTACTTGTACTACAGGTGCCTTGACAGTGTCTTTATCATCAGCTTCGTCCAAGCTTGGAGGGTTGACCTGACTGGCAAGCTTTTTCTTCTCGACTTTTGTGTTGACAGGAAGTCCAGCTAACATGGCAGGCGATCCAATAAGTAAAAACGATGGGAACATACGTAATATAGACAGAAAGGAACAGATCTGTAACGCTGCTCGCACATACCTGCTTTTCTCTCCTTTACGATTTTTTTCTTGGTAGCCCATTCCAATTTCACGGTTCTCTTTCCCATGAACTGTTTCTTTTTGAGCAATAACAGAGCCTTGACAGCATCATCGTGAAGCGCAAATACGATATAGCCCACACCACGGTTACGCCCGGGCTGTTCCTTGTCAGCTACGACATAGCAAGATCGAATCGGTCCAATGTCGGATGCGAATGCTTCCAAATCCGACGAGGTCGCTGTATATGGAAGACTAGATACGAATACTGTCGACTTGGAATGCTCCTTGTCCTCTGCTTCTTCTTTTGTTCCTGACGACATCTTGGTCAAGCTAATCTTTGACCGGATTATTTGCAAGTTTTTTTTTGGCATCAATTTTGGAAGGAGATATCACGAACACTGGGAAGCGCGTTGTTTAACGAGTACAAGAGTGGGCTAGATCGTGATTTTTGTGTAATAAATTCATATCAATCTATCTATTTGGGCGATCGCAGAGTGATCCATCAAAAATCTAAGCGATGAAAAATGAGACGTTTGAAAACTTGCTTTCAAGACACTTTAATGCTGTATTCTGCTTTATAAGGCTGAATCTGATCCTCTAAAAAGGAAGCGTTCGCGACTAGTGGGTCGCGGGCCGAGGAATTACTTTCATATGCGTCAACTAACTCAAGATTTTTTCCCTCTCCTCTCAAGTCTCCTTACAAGTTTGAACAGTTGGCGATATTTTGGTCCGAAACAAAGGTTTCAAACTGTCTTAAAACCGTCGAAACCAAGGGATTGGAGATCACAATTTCGAAGCTCCAAGTTTATTCTGAGTGGGGCCGTGACTGATGATCTGCAAATATGTTGCCCATCGTGTCTCGACGAAGTCGATTAGATGACGGTGCGTCAAGCCGCCACATTTTAGTGATGTGTACAGAAGGCTCGTACCCGTGTTGCTGCATTTCCAATGATGCCTTGCGATGCTTGATGCCAATATATGTGCATACCATAACCAAAAAGCAGAACCAGAATACCAGTCCAATAATGAGTTCAGTTTGACGGTCTGATGGCAGTATAGAAGCCGGGCAGTATGTTCCTTGATAGTAACAGCAATCTGAAATTGCGAGTGTGATGTCAGCAACAACGAAACAATATATGCCTCGTTGCTTAAATTCTACTTACAGATATAGGCATTGACACAACTGAGTGCTATACCCATAGCAGGTACAATAGGCGTAATCACCCTCGTTTTAGCTGAATCATATAGTATCAATATACTAGCAATCACCAGCGAGTAGTTGTATATCGTCAGTATATCCAACTCACTAGCCCCTCGAGCCCAAAATACACCATGGAAACAAAACGGGATTACATATACGGCAGAGAGTATTCCAGGCTCAATCATACTCAACATCATGAGACACGACGCTGCGATATGATGGATGTACATGGGTGTATACAGATTGTACATGTCCGTGACATATATTTCGACAATGTAGAAGACCGTGTGCGTCACATGATGAAGCCACATGCCTTTAGCCCATATCGGAGTGTTCTTAAAGGTCGATATGCGCCTACGAGGCATTATCCTGTCCGTGCTCATAAAGTAAACGAGTGCCAACGATGATGTCAATAGCCAAAATACGTTAGGGATTTGGTGATATATAATTGGAAGCACTAAAAATGACAAAATCATGAGAAATCCAAATTCATTTTTCAAGACATCAAGTGTGCTACAAGCACAAGTGTTCTGCGTACTTGCTTGTCGTTTAGCCCACCGCGCCCACAGTTCAGACAGAGGACCCCAATGATACCTCAAGTCTGGGCCATTTATTTCCGTCAAATGTAGATAATCTTCGTGTGGGTGAGGCAACTTGACTCCATAGACAAGACACCAAATCACAACCCCAAACAATACGAGAGTCAGCATACAGTAGATGTTTATCAGAGGTATAACGTAAATTGAAGGGTTGATTGAAAATTTGACGTTGATGGTGGTGATAAAAATCGGCACAACATCGCGGAAACGCAAAGTCTACACCTCGTTATGGCAAAACCTCGAGGCAACTTTTAAAAGGCGTTAAAGTCATAGTGAAAGCACGAAGATCACACAGAGTGAAGCAGAAATAGTGTCATTAAAGATTAGAGGTTCTAACTTTATTTCGACCGGGGCCTTGACTTATGACCTGCAACAATATTGCCCATCTCGTCTCGACGACGTATATTAAATAACGGCGCATTTAACCGACAGGTTTTGATGATACGAATCGAAGACTGACTGGAACGTTGCTTCAATTCCAATGATGCCTTGCGATGTTTGATGCCACAGGCGGTCCAGAGGCAGTATAGACGACGAACAGTATTGGCCGTTATAGTACCAGCAGTTTACGTTTCGGGAGCGAGATGAGCAACAAAAAAATTGGCTGGCATCTATACATAAAAGGTCGACAAAAGCGTATAGATATAAACATTGACAGAACTCAATGCGAGACCGAGACATATCACAGGAATGGTGGGCGTTACTACTTGTAGTTTAGCAGCATCATACGTTCTTCATACACCAGCAATCAGCCGCGAATAGTTGTACACCGTCAAGAGGTTCAATTTAGTAGCACCCCAGCCGAAAATATACCATGAATGAAGAATGATACTATACACACGACACAGAGGATTGCTGGTTTAACCACACCCACCATCATGATACATGACGCTGCGATATGATGGAAGTACATGGGAGTATACAGATTGTACATGTCTGTGACCTAGAGTTCGACAATATAGAATATGGTGTGTCTTACATGATGGAGCCACATGACTTTGGCGAGTAATGGAGCCATCCTCAGTGTCGGAGTAGGTCTACGAGGCATTATTCTATACGTTTTCACGAAGTACACCAGTGCCAGTGTTGATGTCAAGAGCCAAAACACGTTGCAGATCTGGTGGTAGAGAATTGGCAGCACTAGATATGACATTTGTGTGAGCGCATAGTGAAAACCACGAATTTTGATTCGTAGAGCAGCGAAACCTATACTCGGGTGTTGCTTTGCCCAGTGTCCCCACATTGGGGAAAGAGGACCCCAATGACATCTTAAATCTGGACCATGTGGCGTCCAATCCAGATAATCGTCGTTAGGGTGATGCAGCCCATTCGAGACAAGACACCAAATCACCACAGCAAACAATGAAAGAGTCACCATTCGACACGTGTTCTGCAAGGGAGGCAAACGGAAGTTATTAATTGAGGTCATGCGTCTAACAGCGAGGATGAAAAGTCTGCATAACCTTGCGCATAACGCACAGTCGACAACTCGACACCGCCAAAACACCGCGAGGTATATGAAAGGCGCCAGAGTCATCGTTTCGTCGGCAATGTATAGGCACAGAAACCACAAGAGTTTGTCACAAACACTGCTTCAAAGTTGATTTTGGTATTCAATTAAACACAGAGAGATCACACAGGCATACAAGGAAGAAAACATGTCAGCGCTTGAACGGAAATTGAGAGCAAACTAAGTACCAACTGAAGTCTATAACATGACCTTAAGTTCTTAGATCAGATTAGGCCACGGTCATGGTATTGTTCTTTAGTTGGAAGAGGCCCATGATGAAATCTATGACAAGTAAATCAAGTCAAATTGAATTGTGGTAACAATAAAGTCAGCTTACAACAAGAACATACCAATGAATTGCTCAAAAGCATCTTGAATAGCAGGCATAACAAGAGACGGTACTTGCTGAAGAATTGGAGTGAATGCGACTCCAATATTGATACCACCAAGAGTCGTATTGCCAAGCTTCGCGGGATCAGCTGTTGTAGAGAGTCCATTTAGTATAGTGTTCAGCCGTACACCAGGAGACCTAACTCGGGTTTGATTGAGTTCAATGCAGGCTATAACGCTAATGCTCAAGCGATACCCACGTAGAATTGGACAGAGTTACAGTGACCAGTCGAGCCATTCCAGGAACTCCAATAAACCTAAGATCTCTGCTCCAACAGTTTGCGGAATCATGGAAGCGACAGATCCCAAGAATGTATCACCAGAGATGGACATATTATTAGGACCTGGATTTATAGCAATCTTCTCTATTGTCAGACACAATTTCCGTGCTTGACACCGAAACGGAGGCTGTCACTCCAGTACCCGTATGGAGCGTGATCGGATATGGAATCATTAAGCCAATGTTGCCTCTAAACGGTGCCACGGTAGCGTTTGCTAGATTGCCAACAGCGATTTGGTTGATTGTGATATTGCTGAGCAATGGAGTCAGTCAATATTAACCAATTTAGACAGTTGCTGAAGATCGGATGGTGGAATGGTTCTAATGATTAGTATTCGAGGAAAATACCTAATAGAAAGAAAATGTGATGATTTAGCAACATTCGACCGAAACCCCCGTTTCCTCAGACTTACACCTATCCTAAAGAAATCTCAAACGCAACCTGTACTCCCATCGTCCCATTGAGCGGTGACTGAGCAGTCATGGAGCTGACCACATTATCAACTATCCACTTGGTTTGCTTTGGGCCATTAAAGTTTACAACTCCATCGATGATAATCGGTGACTGCCCCACGCAGCGACAAGGTATACAGATACTGTGAATGGCGTAGAGATATCACTTACCACATATCGTCTCTGATCAGAAGCTGAGTACAACTCATGCAAGATCATGGTAAACTCTTCCAACGAGTCACATGCACACGATCCCGTGAATCCAGTAGCATATGATGTACGTATATGGGCCAACGAGTCCAGTATTCGAGAGAATGTTAATCGAGGAGTATGTGTTTCGATGAAATTGATGATGACGGCGTTCCCATCTTCAGAAAGGAGATGCTTGATGACGGCTGTTTTGCCTGTTGCTGGTGGGCCATAACAGAATATTCCAGTTGGTGTGAATGCTCCTTCAGACTGTACAGAGTGAGAAACATGTCGTTTAAGTGATTTTGTTTGGCACTTTGACAAAAGCAGACGATACTTGCAAATAGTAAGGATTCTAATCTATCTATTTGAGCAGCACGTTCGGGATATACTTGACGAGCTCCTTCTCGTGGATTCTCAGGCTCGCCTCCCAACATTCTCTTGGATGTTTTTGAGTTTAGTCTAAGCATTTTTATTGTTTACTTGAACACTTTTTTGACCTATAAAGACAAAAGACACGAAAATTGCAGACAATCTAATGGAGGTAGACACGCCTCTACCTCCCAGACCTAATGCGAAGCGTAAAGCTCACTCTCCGACCCCAACTAGTACTGAAAATGCTGCTAAAACGGTGTTTGTAGATGGTGATGAATAAAGGTGAGGGTGCCCCCCCCGGGACCCTGTAGATGTAGCCACCTATGGCCCCTATGCTGCAATTGTATTGGCTCAGCAGGCTGCTGCGGATTCGCTCGTAGCTGAACTGGTAAGGAACAAGCACAGGGACATTGATGGTTTGAAATTGCTTATGGTTTCTGTTTTGGCATAATGATCAAGTGAAGGAGATGTTGCACTGACAAGGATTATTTTTAATCACTTAATAGCTGCTGGACGACTTTGTCAGACTAGTAGATGTGGATGCCACAAAACCGGCACAATGCAACTTTCATCAAAACGACACAACGGATTATGAAACACGGGACCTCAAAGATGTGATACAGTTATTGAACTCAGGAGGCCACATAAATGTAACTCGTTTCTTTGTATTTCAGTAGTAACCAAGAAACAGGTAGTAACAAGTACCTTTGTTTATTTAGGTCTAGGATATCAAACACCAAAGACTTTCTCAAGTATGTATCCCACTCCAGCCTTCGCCAAGGATTCTTTGATGAGAGATAACATGGATTTTGTCATGTCCAGTGTTAAGAATGAAATGGATCAACATAGATCATCATAGAAAGATATGGAGCCACAATTCCAACAGGTTATGAGCCCACTTAAACTCACTCAATCAACAAAATTCACGTGTTTTCACCAATGAAACACGTCCACCAGCCGTACCCCCTGTAGCATTCCTTGAATTCAAGTCATTCAATGCTATGGTTACCGCTA